TCAAACCCCATCATCCCTCAACAATAGGGTGTGTGGACCGTGGCTGAAAGGAGCAACATTTGGAGAACCAAGGACTTAGCCATCTTTGCTTCAAAGGACTTCAAGGCTTGGAAGATGTATGTGCCGCCCCATACACTCCACTTAGCATCAGAGGAACATTTAGGGGAAGGGTTGGAACTCAATGGTAAAGCATCTGTTTTGAATGCAGAAGGCCCCTGGTTCACTCCTGGCATCCTAGGCAGGGTTCCTGAATAAAACCCCAGAGAGCAGTCAGTGTTAGAAACTTAGCTATGAAAGCTAGGAGCTAAACAGCACCTTAAACTTTAAACCTAAGGTTATGGGCGCAACAACGAAATGTCTGGGCGCTGTTTTTTTTATAACAGGAATACAAAGCTGAAAATGAATGAACTGCAGGTAAAATATCATGTCCATTTTTCACACGGTCTAGTTCTTCCCCTGACCATCACCCTCAATATTCTTAAGAGCAGGGGTAGGCAACCTAAGGCCCGTGGGCCGGATGCGGCCCAGTCGCCTTCTAAATCCAGCCCACAGACGGTCCGGGAATCAGTGTGTTTTTACATGAGTAGAATGTGTCCTTTTATTTAAAATGCATCTCTGGGATATTTGTGGGGCCTGCCTGGTGTTTTTACATGAGTAGAATGTGTGCTTTTATTTAAAATGCATCTCTGGGTTATTTGTGGGGCATAGGAATTTGTTCGTTATTATTTTTCAAAATATAATCCAGCCCACCACATGGTCTGAGGGATGGTGGACCAGCCCACGCCTGAAAAAGGTTGCCGACCCCTGCTTAAGAGGGTCTCTTCTCCAGTCTTCAGAGAACAGCTGGAAGTGGGGAGGCAGTTTTAATCTGAAATCTTAGGCGCAGTACTACGCCCAGAGCTCAGAAACTGCTTGCACTAATGAAATTCCCTGTTGCAAAACACGCCTAGAACAATGGGAGCTTCAGACACTGAGAGCAATGTAGGTTGAGCTGGATGGATCAGTGGTCTAACACAGTAAAAGGCAGCTTTCTATGTTTGAGGATGGACTACAGCTCAGTGGTAAACCCTCTCCAGGCAGAGTTGGGAGAAAGCCTAATTTGAAATCCTGGAGAGCAGCTTCTTATGTTCTAGGTGCCTTGTTCCAGGCACCTCTGCCAAATAAAGTTTGGCACATGTCTATTAGAAGTAAGCAGGTGCCAAACTAAATCTTGGGTTTTACAGACAGGTTTTGGACTAAACCGAATTTGTATCTGATTTTGGTTTGGGCCTTTTGTTTTTGTCCTGCTTTTTTGTTTGTTCGTTTTTCTTCCCATTATCTGCCCTTCTTTGCTTTTTTGTGTGCTGTATTTTTTCTGCTGGTTTTAGTGCGGTTGTTTTATTTATTAATGTAATCAAACTTTCTGATGACTTGTTTTATTTGGTGATGGAAGCTGCCTTACGTCACTATTGTTTTAAATAAGATGGGAGGATTCAAGGTTTTAGGTAAAAAAGACATGTAAAAATTTCACAGCTTCTTTCTGGCAATGAATGAGCCACATGTAACTAGAATGTAACTAGGGACGCGGGTAGCACTGTGGGTTAAACCACAGAGCCTAGGACTTAACAATCAGAAGGTCGGCGGTTCGAATCCCCGTGATGGGGTGAGCTCCCATTGCTTCCTGCCAACCTAGCAGTTTGAAAGCACGTCAAAGTGCAAGTAGATAAATAGGTACCGCTCCAGCGGGAAGGTAAACGGCGTTTCCGTGTGCTGCTCTGGTTCGCCAGAAGCGGCTTAGTCATGCTGGCCACATGACCTGGAAGCTGTACGCTGGCTCCCTCGGCCAATAAAGCAAGATGAGTGCCGCAACCCCAGAGTCGGCCACGACTGGATCTAATGGTCAGGGGTCCCTTTACCTTTAACTAGAATGCTAATAATTCCTTGCGATGTTTGAAATGATGCTACAACCCTGAATAAGGATGAGTACAGTAAAATCACTTTCTTCCCCTCCAGGAGCCTTGGGATGACATCTTAAGTGGGTATCTCCTTTGCTGCAAGAAATGCACTGCAAATTTCGACCTAATGGGGTAAATGTAAAGGTAAAGGGACCCCTGACAACTAAGTCCAGTCGCGAACAACTCTGGGGTTGCAGCACTCATCTCGCTTTACAAGCTGAGGGAGCCGGCGTTTGTCTGCTCCGCACACAGTTTTTCCAGGTCATGTGGCCAGCATGACTAAGCCGCTTCTGCCGAACCAGAGCAGCGCACGGAAACACCATTTACCTTCCTGCTGGAGTGGTACCTATTTATCTACTTGCATTCTGACGTGCTTTCGAACTGCTAGGTTGCCAGGAGCTGGGAACAAGCAACGGCAGCTCACCCCGTCGCAGGGATTTGAACTGCCAACCTTTCAATTGACAAGCCCAAGCGGCACAGTGGTTTAACCCACAGCACCACCCGTGTCCCTATTGCAAATGATGCACCCACTTTAGCTTCCATGCATATGACATCTTTTGCCACAGTAGCTGCATGGGCAAGAGTGGGAATAGCCCACATGCTGCCTTCAGATGCTGTGAGTTCCCATTATCCTTGACCATTGCCCATGACGACTTGGGGATGGCAGTAGTACACAATATCTGGAGGGCACTACATTTGCTATCCCTGGGCAAGAGTCTGGGAAGGGCTCTGCAGAAACCTTTTCCACTAAAATTAGTTTCAGTCCAAAGTATGCAACCAAACCATTCAGCTTAATTATCCAGGCCAATGACTAGCCTAGGTTTGGATTTCCAGACCATGTGAGACCCCATGAAAATTATGGATTGAAGTGACAATGTCTATTCAACATACTGTCAGGTAGAGACAGCAACTGACCTAAGCACACTTAGCTAGGAGTAAGCCCCACTGAACCTAGTGTGGCTTACTTCTAAGCCAACATGCAAAGGATTGCACTGTTATTTTTTTTACTCAGCATTACAAATAGGTCCACAGTTATTAGGCCACCAGCACATACAAACACATATGTAATACATGAAGGGATAGAGAAAAAGACAGCTAGGTATTTAAATCTGTAACTCCTTGTTACCTTGCCTTGTTACCTGAAGGCAATTCTCACCCAGTGAAGGCAAATGGATATTGACAAGCCTACATTAAATCTATGGTATTTATACTTATCACTTCAACCCGACTGAAGCTGTAGTCACAACACAACATATATAGTTGCTTATAGAGCCATAACTGCTGGTTTTCGTATTTCCAAATGCAAAACTAAATGGTTTGTATCCAGTGTAAATCATACTCAAAGTAGACCTATTGAAATTAATGGTCATGACTAACTTAGGTCCATTAAGTTCAATGGTTCTACTCAGAGCAGAACTCAGTTAGAGACAACCTAAGTGTTTCCTTCTCTGTCCTTGCATCATCTTTGTTACCAAATGTCTTTTGCATTAAGGCACAATTCCAAACTCATTAATCAGTTCCTTTAATCACCAACTTAAGACTGAAACAAACTGTAGAGAATGTTTTACATCATGCCCTCTTTTTACCCATATTTCTCTCCCCCCCCGCATCCTGTTCCATTTGCTTTTAAACATCCAGCATGAGGAAGAGCGTCTACGTATCTCGAAAGCTCAGTTACCACAATGTGAACTTTGGCTGGCCCTAATTGAAAGTATTTTGCTACCGCTCTTGTTTCAAAGATTCCTGCCTGGAAATCAGAAGCAGAGAGCTGAATGAAACAGCTACTAATAAAATATAAAGGTAAAGAAATTGCATAGCCCCCCCCCAAGACATACACAGCTGAAAAGTCCACTGCTGCCTGAAAGCTGCTCCCACACACACTCTTCCTCTGTAAGAACTAATTTGTCTGATTTCAGTGTTGTCAACATAGATCATTTAGTCCAAGATACAGTATCACAACAGGCCGTCTTTAAGATATGGGGGCAGTTCCCTTTGTAGTAAAGACAGAAGCTATGTTTTTCTTGGCTACTTTAGGCTCAGTAAGCAGCTGTGGTTGGCAGCAACTCAAGCTTTATTTGCTTATCAGGAGTTTGGCGATAGTCCCATTGATGCAATTAGAATTGTAATTAGTGAGACCCATAAACTAGTAACATAAACACTTCACCACACAGCCTAGCCTAGAAATGCCCACCTCACATTCATAGGGTATTATTTTAGCTAGAAGTCAACCATTCCCAATTCTTTTCCCCCCTATGGAAAAATCTAAGCTTCTGCATGTTCAAAACTAAATATTTCCCTGCCCAGGAAAGCCCCCATGATGCCAGTCTTATCTTTGGGGTAACAAATATGGCTCTGCCAGGGTTTTGAATATAATCTTATTGCATGCCACCATTTATTATACATTAGCTATTTATTTTATCTTGATGCTCTCTTTTTTTGTAAAGTACCCTAGAAGCTTTACTGAAGGGAGGTAATATATAACATAAAATAATGTTTGCAGTAAGAAGAGCCCTGATGGATCAGCATTCCATTTCCTAGAGTGCTTAACTAGATAGTTACAAGAAGCCAAATAGCAAAACTTGAGTGCGATGATGCTTTCCTCCTGGTCACACTCAGCATCTGTTATTCAGAGCTGGCATACTGACTCTGATCCTAGAAAACACAACACCGCTAAGCAGGATAATTTCAAAGGAGTTCATTGCCAAAAACGAAACCTTATCCAGTCAGGGGTGCCAACTTGAATAAAATATTGGGAGGGGCAGGTAAGCCCTACACCACACAATCATTCACAAGACACACACACACCATTTGAATGGCAATACCCATTAACTTGGGGGTAGGGGCCTCAAATATTTTAGGAGAGGGCTGAAGGGACCTTGGCCCCTAGGAGTTGGCTCCTATGATCTCCATATCTGGAATGAATGCCTATTATGCTAATGAGCTGTTATACCATCTACTCTTATCCCTGAAAAAAAGACAGATATTTCTAGGAAGATTCTGTTTCCAGTGTGACTAAACGAAAGGGGTCCAAAAGCTTTTTTTTTTTTTTGGAACAGTATTCCTCACCTGCATCATCGTAACTACGTGGCAGGGATTCAGCAGGTAGATGACTGTCTTGGAAGCAAACTTGAATCCCACTTCCAATCCAAAAGTGAGGCAGAAGAACACCAGCAACAGGTTCTTCCCTATGCTCTCCTCTTTCTTCCGAGACTGAGCAAGCAGGTCCACCACCTCCTTGGAATGGGTTCGCCTGATCTTCTTCAGGGACACCACCACCTCCAGAACTCCCACGCATAAGAAGATCAGGGTCTCTACCAGGCGCTGTTGCCAGGGGAGGAAGGCAGCACACTCAGGACCCCCGTTGCCTTCAAAGCTTGGGTCCACCCCACCGTACATCCAGTCCAGAAGATTGGAGAAGCTGTAACGACTCATGGCAAACCCCTTCTGTTCCTCTTCTGCTTGGCCGTCCTGGAGAAGGTGGGCGCTTGATGAGATCAAAGCTAATATGCTGTTTGGGTGACGAAACATGAAACAGAGAAGAGTCCTTATCAGCAAGTCCTCTCCCTTCCACTTGTGAGACACAGAAAGGAACTAGACAGGTGATCCTCAGCTCTCACTCTAGGGTGCTCAGGTAAGAAGCTAAACAAACCTGTGGGGAGGATAGGAAGTGAAACACAACTTAATTATCAAACCAGAAAACAGGATAAAGAAAGGACGCATAACAGAACCAAGCTCCCTGCTCTCTCTTCCAGCAGAAGGCCCAGTCAGCAAACTGTTGCTTTATGACCCTAAAAGAGCTTTGGCAACCTGTCACAATCCAGATGTTTTGATCTACAATTCTCAAGCCCAGCCAGCAAGGCCTCTGGAGGCCACCTGGTTGGCAAAACCTGCCTGAAAACCCCAGGCACTATGTAACCGGCACACTGTGTACAAACACACACCAGGTATAAACAAACACACAGTGTGCCGGTTACATTGTGTCTGGTTGCCCAGGTTTCTAAAGAAGCATGGCTGGTAGTACCTGGGTATATAAAATAACCACACAAAAACAGCGGTGAGGGATATATATATATATACCCCCATACTCCCTCTCTCTCTCCTGCATAAATGATTTCCGACTCTTATTTCTCTATTTGAAATATTTCACAGCCACTCTTCATCCAATGGAATCCGGCGCATCTGCTACAACAGGCACTACAATACACAAAGCAATGCAATAAAACAACATCCTTCACAGTAAATTTGTGGAGGGAGAGGCAACAAAAGGCCACAGAAACTAAAAGTAAACAGAAGCAACATTACCTTCTTTTTTTAAAGAGCCACGGCAGGTTTTGGGGTTTTTTTAACCTCTTTAACTCGGCACGGCTCCTTTCTCCCTCAACCCGGCAAAGCTCCCCACGCAAAAAAAAAGAAAAAGGCGCTTCGCCAACGCGATGTGGTTGCCGAACGAGATCGTGAGCAACCACAACCCTTGAAGGTAGGCCTGCTCGCTTAATCACCACACTTTCACCAAATTCCCGCGAAAGAGGGAAGCGGAAAGGGGGCGAAGAGAGGGAGGAGGGAGCAAGAGGTGAGCAATTTATTTATTGAATTGAAGAGTTGGAAGGGACCCCTAGGCTCATCTAGTCCATTTATTTCCCTCCCCCTCACTGGCGCCACGCTCCGCCTTCCCCCACTTCCTCACAACACCATTCGCGCGCGCCCCCCCTACCTTCTATGGAAGTCCCCCCCGCAACTCTTTCTGCCTCTGGAAGGGGCTAGCTATAATCTCCCCTCCCCGGAAAAAAGCTGTGCTTTCTGGTCCTCTGCCTCCTCCAGCGAGACTTCCCAGCGACGTGGTGCACCCCTTCCCTCCCAATACCTCAAGGGAAGGCGGGAGCGAGGGAAGGGGCGGGTCGTGGCGGTACTGCAGGCCCTCCCTCAGCTCTTGCCGGGGCAGGCGCTACATGAGGACGCCCAACAGCCCGGCTCTGGGTTGCAGACCGGAGGAGGAGGAGGAGGAGGCGCAGCGGCAGCAGAAGTGGCGGCCAGTGCTTATCGGCTCCCCTTCCTCAGGTGTAGCCCGGAACGCAGCTGGGGCGCAATCTGCGCTCTGGACGCCGCTGCTGCTGCTACTCTCTGCTCGCCTCTTCCAGGAGAAGACCACCACCACCACCACGCCGCCCCCACCACAGCATCACCCCACCGACGTGCTCAACTAAGGCTAAAAAATGGAAGGTGCACCCCGGATTGGTTGCGCGGGTCTTCCCGCTCCGCCTCTTAGAAGGCGGCTCCTGTGTTTCCGCGCTGCTGTTGCTGCCCCCTTTTCTTCTTCCTCCGCCTCGCTTCCACTTGTCGCCTCAGTCAGCCCGTCACTACAGCGTAAGGAAAAAAGGCGGAGAGGCGCGCTTTGCCGCGCTTGCTCCGCGGGCTCGCTTTCTGCCCAGTCTTTGCCTCTCCGCTGCGCCGCTTGCGAGCGCAAACGCAAACAGTTCCTCTGGAGTGTGTTGTGTTCAACTGCCTTCAGTGGGGCTTAACTTCTGGTAAATGTGTGTAGGTGACAGCAGCCTCAATGTTCCTCTGTGCTTTCCGCAAAGTGTTTTTAAAAAGAAAAACTAAAAACCTCCCCAGAAACAGCTAGCACCAAATCGGTGGCCCTCGAGATATTGCTAGGCTCCAACTCCGATCGCTTCTGACCGTTGGTCATGCTGGTTGGGGATGGTGGGAGTTGAAGCCCCAAGGACATCTGGTGAGCCACAGGATCCTTTCCCCTGAAACTGCATTTCATGGAAAGGGGTTCTAGCCCAGCCTTCCACCTAACATGCTGGATTTCTAACTGCAGGGCTGGTGAGGGTTTTGTTTGTTGTTTTTTTTGTTTGTTTTTTGAAAAGCAGGCGCATACCTAGGGGTTGGCCAGGTTGCCCCCTACCAAAAGTGCAGGCCAAGGATGTGTGTGCAAAAATTACACCTGTCCGCTCTGGCTCAGAGTGCCAATGGTACAAGGGATGCGGGGGGAGGGGGCGCTGATACAGCTCCTTGCCAAGGGCACAAGGGGGCCTAGAATTTCATCACATCAGCCCTCTGTACATAGGAACCTAGCATGTACAGTGCTTAGAAATGCAGGTGACTAAGTGGTATATAAATGTCTTGAATAAATAATTAAATTACCAGCATAACAGGGGGAGGGATAGCCTTCTTTCTTTCAGCAAGGCAGAGAGGGGAATCTTCATCATCTGTGCAGCCCAGGAACTCCATACACACTGCCCAGGCATGTGCCCCAGGGAGGTCACTTAGATGCTGCTAATGCAGTGTTTTGGTTTCACTCCAGGAGGCACACCCTCCATTGTCTCTGTGACAGACAAGTGCCAACAACGCTCCACTCCTGCCTTGGGTGGGGCATATGAGTAAGAACCTCTAAGGAAGAAGAGCACAGGATCTGGACTACTTAGGCAGGCAGGTAGCTAACCCACTGGGCCACAAACAGCTTTTTTCTTCTATTGCTGTAGGAGGCATTATCTCAGCCCCAAAGTTTTGAGATTTAGCCACAAATCAAGCTTGCCTGCTAAGCCTCCTTCTAAAAGTTCTTAGCTCCATAGTAGAAAGGAAAAGCAACAGACTTGCCAGTAGATTTTTTATAAAATAAAAAAAGGTGTAGAGGCTGGATGGCTTAAATCTCCCTACCCTACATGTACACAACCAGCAGCTACAGAAACTCCCAGTGATACCAGTGAGGCCTGCAGCCTAGGAAGAGTTCCAAGGACTAGACAGGAGGGTTGATGGGCCATCTTCAAGCGGAGGTTTTCCACCCCGACACACAGGACCTAACCTAGCACAGTTGCATGGTCAACAGTGTACTTTAAATCCTGCGGAGAAGAGCTTAGACTTAGCATCAAGATAACTGGAAACCTAATATAATGGTCATTAGGAGGCTCAGAAAGAAGGTATCCACAGAGAAAACATCCGTAGTGATAAACAATATTGTTTTATCACTAACAGAGCGACTTAGCAGCATCAGATATCACTAATGATATGAATAACACTTGAGGCAGGCTCCGTGTATCCAGTCTTGTACTACAGTGAAAGGCTGGCTGCTATTTCAGCTAAATACAAAAGATGGCACATGTTCCAGCTATCACTTTTCGCCAGGAATGGCCCCTATTTTCATGTATCTTTCTCTATTGAATTGCCGCCCCAGTGCCACAGTCACTGAGCTACATTCACATCTGAGCCTTCACCTGAGTACACCCTTGCAGCCTTCTTAGAACCAAATGGGCACCCCTACACCCAAATCTGGATTTTTCCACCATATCATTCTTAAGGTCAAGGTGGCAAAGAGGAGAAATGCGAATCAAGGCACAGCTGGGGTTGCAGTGGAATGGATTATCAGGGGGGCTGTGGTGGGAACACTTCAGGCTGCCTTTGGAAGTCCTGCAATTTCTAAATTGTATGGGGTTCCTTGCAAGGCCCCCTGCTTCTTCCTCAAAGGTGATCTCCAGAACATCCGGGTTGGGTGGGATCCTAGCAGAAATTAAGGAAGAGCCACAGTGCATAACTGTTATTAGAGTAATTGGCCGGGGGCAAAACCAGAGGTGGATGGCTCTGCCTACTGTTGCTTCTTGCTGCACCTACCATTGCCGCCCTGCCATCCAGTGGCACCAACTGCTATTACTCTTTCGCAGGCTAGGTTTGCTTTCAGACTACCGGTATTAATCTTTGTGGGCTTATTTTTCAAGGATGGTGTTCTTGCCAAAGTACTCTGCTAAGGAATTATTACTCTTAAAGACTTGTGGAGCTGCTTGCAGTTTAACATAAACACTCCTGACTCTTGCTGCTACATTCAGAGCCAAGTTGCTGTTCCCTATTTGCAAAGCTTTTCTCCTCATTGGTTAATCTGCAACCTTCCTATGGACCTGAGTAAACATCCATATCTTGTGTTAACAGCAGAACAGACCTCCGAAGGCAATAGATTCCCTGGATATGAGATACTTTAACTCTTCACTTTTCCTTTTATTTGACCTCAGGCGGCCTCTCTTCATCCTGTTGGCTTTCTGAAATGGTGGCAGTGCCATTGGTGATTAAGAGCAAGTAGGCACATTCATTTTAATATCATCCATTGAACCCAGAAGGCTTTAGAGGAAGTCCAGTGGCATTTCCTAAAGGTGACACACTGTTGATGTTGTTGTTGTTGTTGTTGTTGCTGCTGTTGCTGCTGCTGCTGCTGCTGTTGGCATCTGTATGTCTCAAGAAAAAATGGAGTGCACCTCCAGGGGTGAAGTCAAACTGCTGTGTTAGCAGCACCTAAGTGGCCTTTCTGGGGCACAAGCCAAGGAAGGGTGTATGGAGGTTCTGGGCTATCTAGATGACAAGACACACACCCTTCAGCCTTGCTAATGTAGTCCAAAGGAAAACAGGGCAATACATTTGGCACGAGCTTGGCTGCAGGGGTTGCTTGAAAGAGGCATACAAGCCTACAAAGCACCATCCAACCCTAACCCTTTTCTTCTCCCAAAGATATCCTGCAGAGCAGTAGAGGCTTAGGGGCAGAGATGGGCTATCTTCCCAGGTTGATGAGCCCCATCTGCAACTCACTTCCCCCTACAGCAGGCATGTCCAAAGTCCATTTTGGGGGCCTAATCTGGCCCACGGTTCGGTTTAATCCGGCCCCTGTGGCAGTTTATTTCCTGGGGTAAAATCCTAAAAGCTCAACAACTTCAATCTTTGGGGTAAAATCATTTTAAAAAAAAGCTGAACAACTTCAATCCTTAAAAAGTCAACTACTTTGGTCGGCCATTTGGTTGGCCCCCACGGCCCTTCAATTCATCAGATCTGGCCCTCTTTGAAAAAAAGTTTGGACACCACTGCTCTACAGCATGTGCAGAAACTTCCTCCTTGACCGTTGGACTCACTATTGGTCTCACCTGCTTAATGTGCCGGAGCCTGTCTTCACATGCAGAGGAAGTCTCTAACTCACCAAGAGTTTGAGACCCATTAGCCACCCTCACCTGGTTTAGCTGGCCCTTTAAAGCTGTTTCCTGAGGTTTGGCTGCTATTGCATGCTGACAGCTTCTAGGAGACACAGGTGAGAACTGAGTGCAGGGTGGGGACCAAAGATGGACCAACTACCCCAAAAGAAGCAAGACATGTGCCCTACCAGAGGTACCACCCCTCCACTAACACCTCATACAGCTAGAACGCTTTAGAGGAAGTCCACATGCAATTCTTAAAGGTGACACAGTACTTGTCATGGAATCATCCTGCCAAAATCAGGATGGCTCCCCAAGTAAAGCCCTTTTCAACAGTGTGCTTGGGAATGTCACTGCACTGCAGGGACCAAGCGTGGTCTGAGGGCCTACAAATCAGAGGTTAAGCAGGCCTGAATATGGTCTGTGCCCTTGAGTTCCATCGTGGAAAGATGTCGAATATAAATGTAGGAAGAATAAGAATTTTCAAAATATCTAAATTATATACTGAAGGTGGTATAACAGAAAAAGTATCGCTTGAATGGAAGCTAAGGGCTACAACCAACATGCCTTCAATCAAGGTTTCAGCAAAGCTGTCACGGTTAAAGTCTGTTTTCAAACATGAACCTTTTCATGTAATGCTGTGTCACAGGAACACACCCACACATTAGCTAATTCTGGTTTGTGCACACAGAGGCCTCCTGCTAGGATGGTTCCATCTTCTTCTCTTTCCTTTGTTATCTCCCCTGCACCAGACTGCATGCTTGTCTCGGCCAGAAGACCTATCTTTGGCCACATCTGCACCTTACATTTAAATCAGGAGCATGCCACCTTAATAGCAATGGCTTCCCCCAAAGAATCCTGGGAACTGGAGTTTGTTAGAGGTGATTGGGAGTGATTAGGAGATCCCCTGTTCCCCTCACAGAGCTACAATTCTCAGAATGGTTTAACAGTCAGTCCTTCTTCCTAGCGAATTCTGAGCAGGTGGTGCCTGGTGGAGCTGGGCCTCCAGGAGACCTGATGGAGTGAGCCCTACTTCTTATACAGTGGTACTTCGGGTTAAGAACTTAATTCGTTCTGGAGGTCTGTTCTTAACCTGAAACTGTTCTTAACCTGAAGCACCACTTTAGCTAATGGGGCCTCCAGCTGCTGCCGCGCTGCCAGAGCACGATTTCTGTTCTCATCCTGAAGCAAAGTTATTAACCCGAGGTACTATTTCTGGGTTAGCGGAGTCTGTAACCTGAAGCGTCTGTAACCTGAGGTATCTC